TTAATTTATTTAATTTATTTAATTTGTTTAATTTATTTAATTTATTTAATTTGTTTAATTTATTTAATCTTAAAATATATATTTTAAAGGATTTACTCGGTGAGGGAGCAGCAAGCGGAGGAGTGGAAACAAATCACAGAAAGAAGAGAAGCGGCGTAAGAAAGACAAACAAAACCTAAAAACAAATAAATAAATAAATAAATAAATAAATAAATAAATAAATAAATAAATAAATTAATTAATTAATTAATTAATTAATTATTTAATTAGTGAATACAAAGACAGGGACAGAACTAAAAACAAAGTAAATAAATAGATATTTAATTAATTAATTAATTAAACAAAATAAACAATTTGTTAAACAAACAAATGCACAAATAGATATATAACTGTGTACATTAATAAACAAACAAATCCTTAAATAAATAAATAATTATATAAATACATAAATATACAAATCTACAATTATAACAAAAAAATTTACTTCATATAATCTAGCTGCGTGTAGCTTCATCTCGCTGTGGCTAGCCGTGGCTAGCTGCATGTAGCTATGGCTAGCTGTGGCTAGCTGTAGCTAGCCATTGCTAGCCATAGCTAGCCATTGCTAGCCATAGCTGTGGCTAGCTATGGCTATCTACGCATGCAGCTATGGCTAGCTATGGCTAGCTTCGGCTATATATAGCTAGCTGTGGCTATATAAGGCTATATAAGGCTAGCTATGGCTAGCTGTGGCTAGCTGTGGCTAGCTGTGGCTAGCTGTGGCTAGCTGTACTCGATTTTGTCTGCGTTTGTAGCGAGAGGGTCGCCCAGCCGTTTAATGACGGCGCAGACCTCAGCAAAAGGAATTACATTTACATCCGTTATCAACTGTGGGGCCCCACACATCCTGCTGCTGCTGCTGCTGCTGCTGCAGCTACTGCTATGGTTGCTGCTGCGGCTGCTGCTGCTGCTGCTGCAGCCGCTGCTGCTCCCCCGCTGCTAGCTGCCCCTATAGCCTGCTGCACAGAAAGAGAGAAATTGTTTTAATAAGCGGTATCTGTCCTCAACCGGCTGTTGTTGCTGCTGCTGCTGCAGCTGCTGCTGTAACTGCTGCTGTAGCTTTTGCTGCAACTACTGCTACTTCGGGTAGATTGCGCTGTTCCCAACGCCCTCTGAGCTGATTTTGCTGTTGCTGCTGCTGCTGCTGTTGCTGTTGCTGCTATTGTTGCTGTTGCTGCTGCAGCGGTTGCAAGGCCTAACGAAGTTCAGGCGCCTCTCTGTGAGTGGCAGCAGCAAGCACTGGCGGAGATGCAGCAGCAGCAGCAGCTGCTGCTGCTGCTGTTGAGTAAACCCTAGAAAAACCCTTTCTTCAGAATCTTAATCCATAGATAAACATATCCTAATAACAACAAGTCGATCAGCTGGGGGCCCCCAGGGGCCCCCAGAGGCCCCAAGGGGCCCCAGGGGCCCCCAGGGGCCCCTAGCAGCAGCAGCAGCAGCAGCAGCAGCAGCAGCAGCAGCAGCTGAGCTTATCGCTCTTGTGTCTTTATAGTTGTTCTGTTTGTTTAATGTAATATTTAAAATAAAAAAGTTTGTTGTTATTGAGGCTCCTCTGCACACAAGCAGAAACAGCAGCAGAGGGCGCAGCAGCTGCTGCTGCTGCAGCAACAGCAGCAACAGCAGCAACAGCTGCAACAGAAGAAGCAGCTGCTGCAGCAAGGAGGTACATACAATGCCACATCTGCTGCAGCCTTGCTGTAAACAGCTGCAGCAAGAGAAGACCCTCCCCCTCCAGAGCGGAAGCCCTAGCTGCCTGAACGCACAGCAGCAGCAGCAGCAGCAGCAGCAGCAGCAACAACAACAACAAGTTGACAGAGGGAGGCTACAGCGGGTTACTGAGAGGCTGCAGGTGTTGCGGCTCTGTCTGCTGCAGCAAGTCCTTCTCAAAGGGCAAGGCACCGCGTCGGGTCAGCACCAGCAAAAGCAGCAGCAGCAGCAACAGCAACAGCAGCAGCAAAAACAACAGCAGCAGCAGCAGCCGGAGGCAGATAAGAAAGAGAGGAAGCTGCCTTTGCGAGAGGCAGATTACCTCCGCAGCAAGAGGGCTCTAGATCCGACTGCTGTTGGTGCTGCTGCTTCTCCACCAGCAGCAGCAGCTGCTGCTGCTGCTGCTACTGCTGCTGCTGCTGCTTCCCCTGAAGTATTTCAAGCAGATAATCCCCTTGTTGCTGCGCTGCTGCAGCTGCAGCCGCAGCAGCTACATCCAAGGCACCGCAGCCTCTGCCGATACCTGCATGCGCTGCATGCTCCCCAGCAGCAGAAGCAGCAGCAGCAGCAACAACAGCAGCAGCAGCAGCAGCAAAAGAGGCAGGATGAACTTGAGGTAACTGGCGAAAGTAGCGAGACCGCAGACGCACCAGTGCAGCAGGTCAGCAGCAACAGCAGCAGCAGCAACAGCAACAGCAACAGCAGCAACAGCAACTGCAACAGCAGCCGCAGGGGGGCGTCCCGTGAGGAGAGGGTGCAGCAGCAGCGGCAACAGTTGCATGTGCCGCAGCAGCATCTGTCTCCTGAAGAACAGCAGCTGCAGCAGCTGTCTCCTGAAGAGCAGCAGCTGCTGCAAGCAACAGCTTCTCGCATCCTAGAGGAGGAGCCTTCTCTGCTGCAGCAAACGCAGCTGCTGCTGCAGCAGACTTGGTTGGAGACACTTACGCGGCAGGCGCTGCTGCTGCTGCCCCTAAGGGGCCCCCGTGCTGCAGCAGCAGCTCAGGCAGAAGAACTCGTTGCGAAGAGCAAGGCACGCCTGCAGCAGCAGCAGCAGCAGCAGCAAATCAATAGCAGCAGCAGCTCCTTGCTGCAGCTGCCTGCATTTGCTGCAGTAGAAGCTGCGCCTCCCCTGCCAGCTGCAGCAGACGTCAAAGCAGCAGCAAAGGCCCTGCAGCAGCAGCAGAAATTCTTATCTGTAGAAGAGGTGCTGCAGCTTCTACCTTTGGAGCCCCCAGAGTTGCAGCAGCAACAGCAGCAGCAGCAGCAGCACTTGCTGCTGCTTCGGAAGGCTCGCCGCATGCTGAAGGAAAAGTCTCCTGCTGCTGCTGCAGCTCTGTCTCCTCAGTTGCTGCTGCAGCTTATGGATCGAGCCTGTGCTGCAGCAGCTGCTCGCCGCCTTCAGTCTCTGCGTGACAGCAACAGCAGCAGCAGCAGCAGCAGCAGCAACAACAGCAGCAACAGTCCCCGGAGGGACATCGTTGGTTTAATGCTGCAGCGCCTCCGGGAGACTCGCCAGCTGCAGCTTCTGCAGCAGCAAGAGCTGCAACAGCAGCAGGAGCTGCAGCAGCAGGAGCTGCAGCAGCAGGAGCTGCAGCAGCAGGAGCTGCAGCATGACGGACCAGCAGCCCCCCTTAGGGACCGACTTCCTAGCAGCAGCAGCAGCAGCAGCAGCAGCAGCAGCAGCGTTTCAAAGACGGTGGATGAGCTGCAGCAGCTTTTCCTTTCTATGGATGCAGTGCTGCTGCAGCAGCAAGGGCTTATTTAATAGCTGTGGGTTGCTGCCGCTGCTGCTGCTGCTGCTGCAAACCCGGTGTTTAATTTTTTTTTGCTGCTGCTGCAGCAGCGGAATAGATGTTTGCCGCTGCTGCAGCAGCATAAGAATAGCCCTAAACCCTAGCCTCTAAACCCTAAACCCTAGCCTCTAAACCCTAAACCCTAGCCTCTAAACCCTAAACCCTAGTATATAAACCCTGAACCCTTGCCTCTAAACCCTAAACCCTAGCCGATATGCTTTAAACCCTAGACTCTAAACCCTAGCCGATAGACCTAAAACCCTAGAACATAAACCCTAAACCCTAGCCGCTAAACCCTAAACCCTAATTGTCCTTTACGTGGGTCGCAGCCCCAGTATAAAACGTAAAGAGATAAAAGAGAGACAGCAAGGAGACAGCAAAAGAAACAAAAGACAAAGAGAGACAAACAGCGACAAAAACAAAAAAGAAGAGACAAAAAAAAGAGACAAAAAGACAGAGACAAAAAAGAGAAATAAACAAAGACAAAAGGAGACAGAGACAAAGAGAGACAGACAAAGACAAAGAGAGACAGACGGAGACAAAGAGAGACAGACAGAGACAAAGAGAGACAGACAGAGACAGAGACAAAGAGATATAGAGACAAAGAGAGACAGAGACAAAGGGAGACAAAGACAAAAGGAGACAAAGACAAAGAGAGACACATAGAGACAAAGAGAGACAGAGACAAAGAGAGACAGAGACAAAGGGAGACAGAGACAAAGAGAGACAGACGGAGACAAAGAGAGAGACAGAGACAAAGAGAGACAGAGACAGACAGAGACAAAGAGATATAGAGACAAAGAGAGACAGACAGAGACAAAGAGAACGAGAGACAGACAGAGACAAGGATAGAGACAAAAGACTAAAAGAGACAGAGACAAAGAGAGACAGAGAGAAAGACAGACAGAGACAAAGAGAGAGACAAAGAGAGACAGAGAGAAAGACAGACAGAGACAAAGACAGACAGAGACAAAGAGAGAGAGGCAGGGAGACAGACAAAGAGAGAGACAGATACAAAAAGAGATAGAGAAGGAGACACATATAGAGAGACAGAGACAAACAGAGACAAAGACAAAAAGAGACAGAAACGGAGACAGACAGAGAGCAACACACGAGGCGAAGCAACTACGACAGCAAGAAGAGAGACAAAGCAGATAAAAGAAAATAAATAAATAAATAAATAAATAAATAAGTTGTTTTTGTCTCCTCTATGATTTTCTTCCTGAGGCCCCGAGGCCCTCAAAGTCAGCAGCAGCAGCAAACTCTGCTGCAGCACAATTAGCAGCAAAAAAATCATTTAACCCTTTTCTTGCTTCTGCGTATTCAAACGCAGACAAGTGAGATATAACAGACAAACCAGAAGCACGCCCTGCTGCTGCTGCTTCCCCGCTGCTGCTGCTGCTGCTGCTGTTGCTGCTGCTGCTGCTGCTGCTCACGCCAGCAGCAGCAAACGCGGCACTGCGAAAGGAGCTTAGGCCCTGCTGCTGTTGCTGCTGCTGCTGCTGCTGCTGTTGGGTAGACGGGGGGTTGCTCAGTTGCGGGGGTTCGCGACAGATAGAATGATGCAGCTGCTGCTGCTGCTGCCTTCTTCTTTCAGCAAGAGGCGCAAGCCCCCCACCAACCCCGCTGCTGCTGCTGCTGCTGCTGCTGCTGCTGTTGCTGCTGCTGTTGTGGCTGTCTTCACCTGCTCTTCGCAGTGAAGTGCCCCCGCTGAGTCGCTGCTGCAGAGTCGGAGCTGTTGCTGCTGTTGTTGCTGCTGCAGCAGCAGAGGGTTGCTGCAGCCTGGTGCTGCCTTCCTGCTGCCGGGAGAGGCCTCGCACAGTTGAGGAGACAGCTGAAAGGCCTCTGCTATTTGTTGCTGAGGGTTGCTGCTGCTGCTGCTGCTGCCGCAGCAGCAGACTGTCTCCTACACCAGGGAGAGAAGTGTTTCTGCTGCTGCTCGGTAAGGAGACATGCGATGCAGTTGAAGACGCCTCAGCAAAATGCTGCTGCTGCTGCTGCGACTGCCGCTGCATAAAGGAGAGGGTGCTTGACTGTGGCCTCGACAGCGGCTGCTGCTGCTGCTGCTGCTGCTGCAACAAAGAAGCAGCAGGTCGTGAAAGGCTAACTGAGCCGTGTGGGGCCCCAATACTTTGCCCTGCAGTCCCCAGCGCAGACACCCGAGCAGGCGCCCCTGCAGCAGCAGCAGCAGCAGCAGCAGCAGCAGCAGCAACGGCAGCAGCACACACACGCAGGTGTTTCTTGTGTTGCATCCACAGCAGGAAAGAGACTGGCAGCAGCATTGCAGCAGCAAAAAAGAGAAGCAGCAGCAGGCTTCCGCTGTTGTGGGCGTTGCTGCAGCAGCAGCAACAACAACAGGAGCAGCAGCAGCAGGAGCAGCAGCAACAGCAGCAGCAAGATTAAAAGCTGTACCGTTAGTTGAAGCAAAGCGTGAGGGCGAAGCATCTAATGAAGCATATCCTGCAGAGCTAGGCGACCCTAAGGCCGCTGCTGCTGTTGTTGCTGCTGTTGTTGCTGTTGCTGCTGCTGTTGTTGCTGCTGTTGCTGCTGCTGCTGCTGCTGCTGTACCTGGGCCTGAGTCGCGCAGAGCGCCTGTAGCAGCATCAAGCTCATCTAAGTTCCAATCATCTAGAAAAGGAGAGTGATGAACGAAGGGGGGTTTGCTGCTGCTGCTGCTGCTGCTGCTGCTGCTGCTGTTCCCGCTGCTGCTGCTGCTGCTGCTGCTACTACTGCTATGGTTTGCTGCTGCTGCTGCTGCTGCGGGTGCTGCTGCTGCACCCCCTGCAGCAGCGCGGATAACTCGCGCACGCATCCCTAAGCTGCTGCCTTCATTGCCTGAGATAGGTCTATGTCCCTTTGCTGCTGCTGCTGCTGCTGATGTTGTTGTTGCTGCTGCTGCTCTTCTTTGTTGAGCAGCAGCAGAAGCTGCAAAGGCAATCCACAGCAGCAAACAAACAGCAGCAATGAAATGCTCCCGGAAGCAGCCAAGGCAGCAGCAGCGACAGCAACAACAGCAACAGCAGCTGCAGCAACAACAGCAACAGCAGCTGCAGCAACAACAGTAGCTGCAAGAGCAGCAGCAAGTATGTATGCGCATGAGAAGCATTCATGCTATTTCGATATGCTGCTGCTACTGCTGCTGCTGCTGCTGAAAGAAAAGTGGAGACGTACCGGAAGTTGGTGCTGCAGAGTTTGCTGCTGCTGCTCCTGCTGCTGCTCCTGCTGCTGCAGCTGCTGCTCGCCTCGCCCGGACCTCTGCGCTGCTGCTGCGCCTACTGCTGCTACCTCCGACCGAGCCAGTGCGTGTGCTGCTGCTGCTGCTGCTGCTGCTTCCGGGTCCCCTGGCGGAGTGTATCTGCATAGTTTTGTTATTTTTGCTGCTTGCTTCTGCTGCTGTTGCTGCCCGTGGCTGCAGGAGCGGGGCCCCCGAGTGCGGCGCAGCAGCAGCAGCAGCAGCAGCAGCAGCAGCAGGATCAGCAGCAGCAGAAGGAGCAGCAAGAGGAGGAATATCTGCAGTAAGAGGAAGGCGCTTCATCTTCCCAGCTGTCTCTCCAGCTCGCAGCAAAGTAATTCGTTGCAGTGTCTCTACTGCTGCTCTGTCCTGGCGTAGCTGCTCCTGCTGCCGCTGCAGCAGCTCTTCTCTTTGCTGCAGCTGTCTCTCTCTTGTCTTTCTTGCTTCTGCTGCACGGTGGGCCTCGTTTGTAAAGGCCTCTCTATCCGCTGCTAATGATTGCTGCAGCAGCTGCAGCTGCGTCCGCTGGCTATTCACCTCTTCCTCCCGCTGCTGCAGCTGCTGCAGCACTTCGTACGCTTCTTGCTGCTGCTGCTGCCCTTGCTGCAGCTCCTCCTGAGCCTGCTGCTGCAGCTGCTCAAGCTCCGCTCGATCTGCAGCAAGAGAGCGCTTGGCTGCTTCTAGCTGCTGCTCCTCCTGCTGCAGCCGCGCTGATGCTGCCTGCAGGTCTTGCTGCTGCTGCTGCAGCTCCGACTGCTGCAGAGACAGCTGCACTCGCTGCTGCTGCAACTCCTGCCTCTCTCTTGCTGCTGTGTGCTGCTGCTCTTGAAGACGCAGCAGCTGGCTATCCAGCTGCTGCTGCAGGTTCTCCCGTTCTTCCTGCAGCTCCGTGTACAGCTGCTGTTGCTGCTGCAGCAGCTGCTGCTGCTGCTGTAGCTGCTGTTGCTGCTGCTCCTCCTGCAGCTGCTCTTGACGCTCTGCATATTCCTTCTCAAGGGCCGCGCGTCTCTCCTCTAGCTGTTGCTGCTGCTCTTGCTGCTGCTGCTGCTGCTCCTGCTGCTGCTTCTCAAACTCCTCCTGTAGCTGCTGCAGCTGCTGCTCCTTGTCCTCGGCCCTCCGCTGCTGTTGCTGCAGTTCTTCCCGCTGCTGCTGCAGCTGCTTCCGCTCAATGCTGCACTCTCTCTTAGCTGCCTCTGCCTCCTTCTGCAGCGCAGCAGCAGCAGCAAAAAGAACAGCAGCACCACCAATCATCTTGGGCAGCAACAGCAGCAGCAAGGAGTTCATAACAGCAGCAGCAGCAGCAGCAAAGCAGAAGCACTCACCTCTCTAGCAGCTGTCTCCTCTAGACGGCGACTTAGGTCTTGTTGCCTTCGCTTGAGGTCTTCCTGCTGCTGCTGCAGCTGCTGCTGCTGTTGCTGCAGCAGCTGCTGTTCCTGCTGCAGCATCTGCTGCTGCTGCTCCAGATTCGCATACTGCTGCTGCAGTTCTTGCTGCTGTGCTTCTTGGTGTCTTTGAAATTCCTGCTGCTGCTGCTGCAGCTCTGCCTCCTGCTGCTGGAGTTGGCGCTGCTGCTGCTGCTGCTCTGCTTCTTGCTGTTGCAGAAGTAGCAGCTGCTGTTGCTGCTCTGCTTCTTGCTGCTGCAGCTGCTGCTGCTGCCGTTGCAGGTTGTCCTCATGTGCCTCAATTGAAGCCTGCTGCTGCTGCAGCTGCGAGCGGAGGCTGTTAAGCTCTGCTTCCTGCTGCTGCAGGTCGGCTTCCCGCTGCAGGAGCTGCTGCTCTCGCTGCTGCAGCAGCTGCTGCTGCTGTTGCTGCTGCTGCTGCTGCTGCTCTAGCTCCTGTGTCTCCGTCCGCAGCTGCTGCATTGCCGAATCGAGAGAAAACTGCTGCTCTTGCAGCTGCAGTCTCTCTTCATTCAATTGATACCGATCTGCCTGAGGTGTACAGACACCGCAGCAGCAGCAGCAGCACTCATTAGCAGCAGCAGCACTCATTAGAAGCAGCAGCAGCAAGCACCAGCATTAGCAGCAGCAGCAATAGCAGCAGCACCACCAGCATCATTACAATTAGCAGCAGCAGCACTAGCAGGAGCAGCATCATTAGCAGCAGCAGCACTAGCATTAGCAGCAGCAGAATGAGCAGCAGCAGCGTGAGCAGCAGCAGTAGCAGCTGAAGAAGAGGGCGTGTTTACATCGATAGCTTCCTGCTTGTGAATGAGGTTAATTTGCTTCGCGTCTATATCTCTCTTCTTCTCTTCTAGAGTTCGCTGCTGCTGCTTCAGCTGCTCTTGAGCCTTGTGAGCTTCTTGTCGCCGTTCATCAGCAGCAGCACACCATGCTTCTTTCTTGCGAGAGAAGGACTCCTGCTGCTGCTGCAGCTGCTGCTGCTGCTGCTGCAGCTGCTGCTGTTGCTGCTGCAACACCTGCTCGATGCTGTCCCGCTGCTCATTAAATTTTCTCTCTATTAGCAGCAACTCTTGCTGCTTCTGCTGCACTTCGTGCTGCTGCTGCTGTAGTTCGTGTTGCTGCTGCTGCAGCTGCATCTGCTGCTGATGCAGCTGCATCTCCTTCGCGTGCTGCTTCTGTCGCTGCTGCTGCTGCTGCTGTCTGTCGGTCTCTAGTCTCTTCAGCAGCTGCTCATACTGCGCCTTTTGCCTAGCCATAAATGATGCCGCCTGCATTCACACACACCTGCTGCTGCTGTTGCTGCTGCTGCTGCTGCTGCTGCTGTTGCTGGTGGTAGTGTTGCTGCGGATGTTGTTGTGGCTGCTGCTGCTGCTGCTGCTTCTTCAATTACTCCTGGTGCTGTTGCTACTGCTACTGCTGTTGCTGGTGTTGTTGTTGCTGCTACTGTTGCTACTGCTACTGCTACTGCTGCTGCTTCTGCTGCTGCTGCTGCTGCTGCTGCTGCAGTCTCCCTATCGTTGTGTGTCTGTTTGTTTGCTAACTCTGTCTCTGTTTGGGTGTCTCTGCTGCTGCTGCTGCTGCTATTTCTTCTTGTCTATCTTAAATGCAACTTATTTATATTTGTAATTGAGCTGCACGTACACTGCAAACGCAGACACTGTTTTCTCTCAAGGCTGCGGAGGCGCTCCTCATGGCGCTGCTGCTGCTGCTGCTGCTGCTGCTGCTGCCTGTGGTTTGCTGCTGATGCGTCGTCCGATGGAGGTCCGTCATTGCTGCTGTTGCTGCTGTTACTGCTGCTGCTGCGTCTGCTGCAGCAGCATTAACAGCACTAGGGCCCCTCAAATGCAGTTGCTGCTGCAGCAGGCTACCCCCTATTACATCTGCTGCTGCGCTGCTTCCAAGCCCGATCGCGCTGCTGCTGCGCAGCCTCTCGGTTGCTGGGGGCCCCCGGGGGCCCCTCGATCTTTGTACTGACAAAACTCTTTCTGCTGCAGTACCCTCTCCTCGCAGCTGCAGCAGGGGGCCCCCTGGGGGCCCCCCCCCTGCGTCTAGGAGGGGGGCCCCTGGGGCCCCCAGGGGCCCCAGGGGCCCCCTTAGTTGGGGGGGGTCCTCTGCATGCAGACGACGGATACCAGACGAACTTGAAGAAGCACCTAATCCATGCAAATACTGCTGCTGCTGCTGCTGCAGTTGCTGCTGCTGCTGCTGTAGTTGTTGCTGCTGCTCGAAGGAGGTTGTTAAAGAATTTCTGCTGCTGCGGCGGTGGCGACGACGGCGTGCAGTTTGGCTGTGCAGATCCGTTATATCTGCTGCTGCTGCTGATAAGGATGAACCCAGCTGCTGCTGCTGCTGCTGCTGCTGCAGTTGCTGCTGCTGCTGCGAGTGTGTGGAGAAAGAATCGTCAAAATCCGCCAGCAGCTGCTGCTGCTGCTGCTCCAGCTGCTGCTGCTGCTGCTCCAACTGCTGCAGCTGCTGCTGTGTGCTGCTGAGAATAGCGCTAGTGTGAGACCACTGTGGCCGCGTTGCAGCATTTGTTGCTGCTGTTGCTGCTGCTGCTGCAGTTGTTGCTGCTGTCCCCACCAAAGGAGAGACGTATACATCAGAGCCTGGATGAGAAGAGGCGCCTCCCCCTGTTGTCAAAGAAGCAAAGCGGCTGCTGCTGTTGTTATTGCTGCTGCTGCTGCTGCTGCCGTTCGGGTGCGTCGCTGCTGCGGGGAGATCTGCTGCTGCTGCTGCTGCTGCGCCTACACCAGCGAGGCCCCCATAGAGAGACCCGAGGGGCCCCTCAGGGGCCCCCCCAGGGGCCCCTAATGAAGATGCATGCAGCTGTTTATCAAAGCGATCGGCACGTTGGGGGGCCCCTAAAACCCCCGTCTGCAGCTTTAAGGAGGAGAGGGAGAGCTGCTGCTGCTGCTGCTGCAGCTGCTGCTGCAGCGGCTGCTGCAGCGGCTGCTGCTGCTGCTGGAAATATGACAAGGGTGCTCGAGGATGAGCCGGGGAACGCACAGAGGTGGTCGTCATCAGTAAACCCTAAACCCTAAACCCTAAACCCTAAACCCTAAACCCTAGGCCGGGAGGAACTGGCGTGCTGCAGGTGGTGCTGCAGCGTTTAAAAGAGGTGTCTTTAGTGAAACAAGAGTTGCTGCTGCTGCTGTTGCTGCTGCTGCTATTTCTCCTGCTGCCGCTTCGCAAAACGGCTCACCCACCAACTGCGGCTGCTGCTGCTGCAGGTTGCTGCTGCTGCAGGATGCTGCTGCTGCTGCAGCAGCAGGTTGCTGGGCCGATGAACAAAAAACAATTAAGAAGAGTTAAAGACAAGGAAGAACTAATGGTGGCACCGCCAAGCAGCAACTGCTGCAGCAGCAGCTGCTGCTGCTGCTGTTGTGTTGCTGCAGCAACTGCAGCTGCAGCAGCAGCAGCGTCAAGCAGGAGCCCCTAGACGCCTGATGCATAAAGGAGACACAAAAAGGACAAAGAGGCTTTAATTAAACAAACTTCAGCAGCAGAAAGAAGCTTGCTGCTGCTGCAGCAGCCCCGCTGCAGCAGCAGCAGCAGCAGAATAGTGTTTCTGGGGGGCTTAAGGTTGCTGAGGGTTGTAGGAGGCCCTCTAACACTCTAGCATTAGAGGGGCCCCCTCCGAGGCCCTCTTTAGATTAAATTGAATTAAAATAAATTAATTAAAACAATTATTTGTTTTTATTTCTTAAGACAAGCAAAAATAAGGGGGCCCCTTTTGCTAGCGCCACCCAGGGGCCCCCCCCGCAGCAGCTGCAGCAGAACATAGCAGCAGCAGCAGCAGACGGGGGCCCCCCAGGGCTAATTATAATAGGGGCCCTTATTAATACTGGGGCCCCTATTAAGACAGGGGCCCCTTATAAGACAGGTGCCCCTATTAAGACAGGGGCCCCTATTAAGTCAGGGGCCCTCCTATTGTCTCAGCGATATTCATAATAATAGGGGCCCCTATTAATACTGGGGCCCCTATTAAGACAGGGGCCCCTAGGTTATAGGGGCCCCTATTAACCCACGGGCCCCTATTAACCCAGGGGCCCCTATTAAGTTAGGGGCCCCCTATTAAGATAGGGGCCCCCTATTAAGACGGGGGCCCCTACTTATAAGGGGGCCTCAATCTTCATAGGGGGCCCCTACTTATAAGGGGGCCCACAATTAAGGGGCCCCCTTATAACACTATCTTGTCTTTAAGGCAGGGGCCCCTAAGAAGTTAAATACTTTTAATAAACAGCTCAACCAGGGGTAGTAGAGTCTTCAGGTGTACAGACAGCAGGGATAGCAAGGGCTTCTTACTGCTAATAATAATAATAATAATAATAATAATAATACTAAATAATAATAATAATAATAAATAAGAGCAATAGTAATAATAGTAATAAGAAAGAATAATAATAATAATTAACAATTATAACTAATAAATAATAATAGGGGTTTAGAACAGTAATAAATAATAATAATAATTAATAATTAATAATTAATAATTAATAATTAATAATTAATAATTAATAATAACTACAATTATTATAATAAACAATACTCATCCTAAAAAATAATAATGTATTCAGACAAACCCGCAGTACCTTCTATTGCCTCTAATATA